CAACAGGACGAGTTCTTTGGGTATATGCCAAGGAGTGGTATAACTGGGTCTTGACCTTATTTTTAAAAATAAGTTTTCTTTCTGAGGAGAGAGAACACAGACAATATTTATCTGCCAATCACAGTTGCTAGGAACTGAATTTGTGTCCTGAGGGAGGACAGCAAGGTCTTTTAACTGCTATGCCATTGCTTAGCTGGACACAGATGCTGTGATAAGAGAAATAGACCAAGATATGTTTTAATTTGTACCTTTTTGGGGCCTAAAAATCATGCATTGTACACATTTTGCTGTACAGGATCACATTACAACTTTTAGAAAAGCAAAAAAATTTGAGTATGAAAAATTAAATTTAGATAACCTTAGTTTCTCCTAGTACTATACTTTTTAGGTTCTGTGTTGGCAACAATATGAAGTATAATGCTGTAGACTGGTTGTAGTTTGATATGCTGGTAATAATTTATCAGATATGTGAATCTAATAATTCTTAGGAAAACCACAATCACTCTTCTGAATTTACACTTGAAAACTTGGCCATCACTGTGAGTGATTTGTTTGCCGCTGGGACAGAAACAACAAGCATAACACTGAGATATGCTCTCCTGCTCCTGCTGAAGTACCCACACGTCACAGGTGAGCAGAGCATTGCCTAAAGATGCTTGAAAGATGCTGTTAGTGTCCTGTATCATGTTATTCTTTGAAGGGTTTCAGTATTCTACCTTCTGTGCTACTATCTGTGATGAGGAGGATGAGTGAGACCGAGGAAGAGACAATGGCTGTAGGAAAAGCAACCAGATGCTGGTCCAGCATCCAGGTTCCTGGGTGGTGATCTGTGGTTGGCACAGTCAGTGTCCACTGGCCTGCTGTTACAAGTTAATTTATTCTCAAAAGGCAGGTTTTAGCAGCAGGCAAGTTCTTGTAGTTGCCTTTCCTCTTTCTGATAAATATAGTTCTGTGATTGAGAAAAGAAAACTCACCTCACTGAATCACCAGAAGAAACATTAGGTTTCATTGAATTTGTCTGAAGTAGTTTGGACACTACAAAGTATTCTAAATATTTAGGTTCTTAGAAAGGTATTTTCATTGACAAAGAAGGTATAGATAAAGGAATTATATTATTTCAAAAGTCCATTTATATAAAACAAAAAATCATTACTTTCTTCTTTTATGTGTACGAGTGTATTGCCTGCAAGTATGTAAGGGCACCCTTGTTGTGCAGTACTCACAGTGGTGAGAAGAGTGTGTCAGATTCCCATGGAATTTGAGTTAAGATGGTTGTTTGTTGCCATGTGGGTGCTAGGAATTGAAACCAGGTCTACTTCAAGAGCAGCTGGTGCTTTTATCCACTAAGGTATCTCTCCAGCCCCAAAATGTCTTTTGAACAATGATTTTTAACCGTGCAAATAGGATTTTCTTTGGCAAATAAAATTATTTTAGAAATTAACTTTAAAATATATACATTTGTTTAACATACATAAACACACCTCCCATCCTCTGTTCAATATACAATAAATAATAAAGGCATGTATATGAATCAAAACGAGTACTTTTACTGTAGGCAAAAAAATACCCAACCGAAAACAGCCAAGAAAATTTCATCAAATTTCTCAAACACGATAGCATAATGAAGAGCCAAAAAATGCAGGTGTGAAAAAGATGTTGTAAACTTAATGTTAGATAAATTTTCATGCTTTAAGTAAAACAGACTGTGAACCTACAGTCCCCATAAAGAGCCCTGTTTGATAATAAGAGGAGTCTAAGCAGAGAACAAAGTTGTAAACAGGATGCTGATCTTGTTGGAATTATCTACCCACCCCAGTACACCAGGTGACTGAGTTTCCCCACAGGAAAACACAGACTTTGTCTTAAAGGAAACCCAGTCTAAGAGGCCCTGTCCTGGGGACCTTGAGTGGTGACAGAGAACGAGAAATCAATTCACAGGATGGAAGGGAAGAAGTGGCTGTGTTCCTTCCCTGACGTGAGAGTCTCAGAGCTTCTTTCTCCACCTTATTTCTGAACATTAGCAGCCAGATTTATCTCCAGATAGTGAAGCACTGTAAAGATCTCTGTATTTTATCATTTTAATCTACAAGTCTCTCAAAGTGTCTGTCAGAGTAAATGGAATAACATCAACCCAACATGCAAAGTCATGGAATTTGAGAATATCGGGATTGAATTGAAGGATAAAATCCTTCAAAGAAATCCCTGAGTCACATATAAAATATTCTTATTGAGACCGCACCACAGTTCTGAAGTTCTGTTTTATTCATGCACATCACAAGTATAGTGATAGACCTCCATGTTTGCCATAGATTTACCACCTATTTTCTATTTCTTCATGAAATACACGAGAATGTTTTCCATCCAGTTGTCTGAAGCAAAATCATGGGAAATCACATTCTCCAGGAATCTGTGTATCCAATAAGGGAGGGTGAGGAAAGAGTGTGCTCTCAATTCTGTATTTCCCAGGTGGATGCTGCAGATTTGAACAAAGAATGAAGCACAGAAGCTGTGATCTGTATTCTGATGCTCTTATTAATTTAGCCCCAGGATCTTGAAGCATCTGTTAGAATATGTAGAAAAATTCAAACATAAAAAATGGAAAATTGAAACATGAAATAAAAAATGTAATGCATCCAAGAAAGAGTGCAAATAATGGGAAATAATCATAATCATAATTTTCCAAAATAGGGAATAATATTTATGCAGTACAATGATTAACAATAAATATTGGTATAACCAAGCAATGTAATGCCAGATGCTGTTGTCAATGAATGAGAGGAAGTGTGTATGTGTGTGTGTGTGTGTGTGTGTGTGTGTGTGTATGCGTTTGGTTTTTTTTATATGGAATGTACTGAAACTGAAATGTTCATCTCTTATACCAGAAAGTCAATAAATGCAGCATATAAATGTATATCTAAGCAGTAGTCACTATTTACAAATATGAATATGTGTCAGAAGTAGCTGCTCATTTTGTACTTGATGGAATGTTATTTCAAAGTGCAAACACAGTGCACACACATGCACATATGTGCATGCATTAGAATGTAATGAAAAAAAATAGTTGTATTTGGTTAAAAATTCAACATCTGCTTTTTCATGTCCTTTACCAAACACTATAATATGTTGGTTATATTGTTTTATTATTTGAACTTTTGAATTATGTCTAATTCTATCCACTATTATGGCAAATAAATAATAAGCCTACACTGATATAGCACAATAAATATTTTGTCAGATAATTGCATAAATTCTTATCATATCAGTTCTGTATATCTAGGCTTACACCTGGACATAAAATATGTATTTATAGCGCTCCAGGGGCACCTACATCATGCCCTGTGTGGCCCTGACTTATTGTGTCAAATGTGCCACTTTTCTCCTTTTCTACTATTTTTCGTTGTTTCTATCCAGCTAAAGTGCAGGAGGAGATCGACCGTGTGGTTGGCAGACACCGGGGCCCTTGCATGCAGGACAGGAGCAGCATGCCCTACACAGATGCCATGGTGCACGAGGTCCAGAGATACATTGATCTCATCCCCACCAACCTGCCTCACGCAGTAACTTCTGATGTTAAATTCAAGAACTATCTCATTCCCAAGGTAAGTTTGTTTCCTCTCTGCTGCACCTCTGTGCTCTTAGTGCTCCCACATTCACAATGGGGTTCCAATACTCAGAGTGGAAGACAAGAGAAATACAAAATGCAAATATATTAGTTTTGGGAATATAGTGATGTTTATGCTATTTCACATTTGGAAGTACAACTTGAACGGGCATTGTGCATGCTTATATGAATCTTCCAAATTTGTTCTTCCTTCTAAATACTGTTCTGCTAAAGCTTCGGCACTGATAGTTCCAGGTAAATGTGTCAGCCATTAATTTCATGAAATTGTCTTTCTGAAATTTTTATCAAAGTGAGAGAATCCACAAATAATTAGTTCATATCCTGAATTTTTTGATACCTCAATGAGATTTGGTTTTTAATTTATTTGTGCATTAAATTTTTCTTTTTAATATTTTTTACATTATGTAACTTGTGAATATTCTCTTGAGTAATACTCTTTTTTATCTTTTCTATTTTTTAGTATTTTTTCTGAACATCACATGATTAGTGTTTGTGCCATTTCTGTCCCAAACACTCCCCCTCCAATTACACCCAATCCTCCCCCACTCCTTTAAATTTCCTGTACTCTTTCTTGATTATTATTGTTTTGTGAAGACACACACACATACACACACACACACACACGCACACACACACATACACACATCACTGGGGTAAGATTAAATTTTAAACAACTAATTTGCATTTCCCTAATTATCACACTTTAAGGTATCAATTAGTCATTTTTATTTCTTCTTTTGAGAACCCTCTTCTATAGACTACTATCTGTAGGCTATTTTCAATGGGGTGATTTGTTTTCTTGATTCTTTGGATTTTTTGTATATTCTGGATATTAACCCTCTATTAGATGCATAGCTGGTAAAGATTTTCTCATACTCTGTAGGCTTCCTTTTCACTAAAGTGGCTATTTCCTTTGCTTTACATAGGTTTTTAGATCAATGACATCTCATTTGTTAATTGTTGACATCAATTTCTAAGTGAATGAAGGATGATTGAGAAAGTTTTCCTGCACCTGTATGTTGTAGGGCACTGCCCTCCACTACCTATGTTTCCTTCTAACAGTTTCAGAATTTCAGGTTTTACATTGAAGTTCTTGATCTATTTGGAATTGACTCTGGGGCAGGGTGAGAGATATAGTTCTAATTTCATTCTTCTACACATGGAGATCCAGTTTTGCCACCACTGCTTGTTGATGTTGCCTTTCCTTCAGTGTGTGTTCTTGACACCTTTGTCAAATATCAGGTGGCTGAAATTGTGTACACTCATGGTTAGGTCTTCTATTTTGTTCCATTGATCCACATGTCTTTTTTAAAATCCTTAAAACTTTTTTGTGTGTTTTTTTTTTCATTTTGTCTTTTTGAGAAAAATCTCTCTGTGGCCCCAGCTGTCTTAGAACTCAGTATGTAGATCAGGGTGGCCTTGAATTCATGGAGATCTGCCTACCTCTGCCTTCCGAGAGCTGGAATTAAAGGCATGCACCACCTAAACGCATGCATGCTTGAACTAAAAATCCTTAAAAAAAAAAAAAAAGGTTATTGTGCTTCTGTACTTTTCATACAATAGTTCTTAATCACATTTAGTCAATGCCACCCATCCAACTGGACCTCATGTATTATGCCATACATCTACTGGAGTCTAGTTATTCTATCTAGAGATCTTAAGTAAAGTCTACTCTCTCTTGCCCAGTAGCAATCAGTCTCTACCAGTTCTCAGATGAGGTGCAGCCCACATCTCATTTTTCTTGCTCCACTCTGAATTCTTGTCTGATTGAGTTGGCATAGGTCCTGGGCTTGATGCCACCATTGCTGTAATTTCACATGTGCAAGCTTCCAGTGGTCTGAAAAACCTCTGCTTCCCTAGGTTCAAGAAGCAACTCTGGCTCTTACACTCTTTCCACCTCCTTTCCACAGTGATCCCTGAGCTCTGGATGTTTGAGGTTTAATATAGGAATCCTCTCCAGGAACACACACATTCTGCAGTCTCTTATTCTTTAAAATTTGACCAGTTGTGACCTTCTGTGAGCATCAAACTCTGTTATATAAGGAAGCTTCACTGACGAGATTTGAGTGATGTACTACTTTTTACTCCACATTCCAGTATGTTCCATGAGTCAGGTATACAGATTCAACTGTAGATGTCACCTATGACTGGTCAGCTCTCAGACATATATTCTCTGTGTGCGACCAGTTGTGGGATTCTGCAGTAGTCTCTGTTGAGAAAAGAAGCTTCTTTGATAAGTGGTGTGTGGCACACTTGTCTGTAAATATAAGGATCCCTATTTGGTTTATGGCAAGAAATTTCATTTGAATAGAGATTTGACAGAGATAGGGTAATCGGTAGGATCTATGTCCTCTCTAGCCATCTGTATTTGGCTATGTTTACAGTGCCACCAATGAGTTTACTCCCATTGAGAGGGCTTTAAGTCCAATAACTTTTTTTGTGGTAATACAATGCTGGTTTTATGAATATAACTCTGTAATAAAGCTTGAAATCTGCTATAGCAAACCCTCTAGCATTATTCTTTGTGCTCAGGATTTCTTCACCTATCATGTGTCTTTTGTGTTTCCACATGAATTTTAGGATTTTTTTTTTCTATTTCTGTGAAAAAAGTCATGGATGTTTTGAATGAGATTGCATTGAATCTATAAATTGTCTTTTGGCAGAATGGTCATTTTCACAATAAAATTCTACCCATTGATAAACATGGGTTAGGAGTTTGATTGCCTAGTCTCTTTTTCAATCTCTTCAAAGATTTCAAGTTTTCATTGCAGAGCTCTTTATCATATTTGGTTATGGTTTTTTTTTCAAGATTTTTTGTTTCATTTTTTTCTGGTTCTTGTGAATGGGAGTATATCCACGATTTATTTCTCTGACTGCTTGTTATTCACATTTAGAAAGGCTATTAACTTTTTAAAATTGTTCTTGAATCCTGCCACTTTTCTGAAGCATTGTTCATTTCTAGAGTATTCTAGTGGAATTTTGGGGGTCTCATATATAATATCATATCATCTGCAAATACAGACAATTTGACCTCTTCTTTTCCAGTTAGTAGCCCATTAATTTCCTTCTTTTGTTGTATTGATCTAGCTACAGTATCAAGATTTATATTTAAAGAGAATGGGAATAGTGTACAGCCCGGTCGAGTTCCTGATTTTAATGGGCATGCTTCAAGTTTTCTTCATTTAGAAGGATGTTGGCTGTAGGTTTACTGAATACAACCTTAATTATGTTGAGGCATGTTTCCTCCAATCCAGTTCACTCTAGGACTTTTAGCATAAATTCATGTTGGATTTTGTTAAAGACCTTCTCTCCATCTATTGAGATGGTCATAGGATTTCTGTCTTTAAGTCAGTTTACATGATTTATTATATTAATTGACACATGCGTATTGAATATCCCATATCTTGATCATGGTGGATGGTCTTTTTGATATGCATCTCTATGCAATTTGCACATATTCAATTGAGAATTTTTGCATCTACATTCACATAGATATGGCCGTATAGGTTTTTTTTGTTGTTGTATATTTACTTAGTTTTGGTATTCCTGGCTTCATAGGAAATTTGGAGTCTCTCCCTCTTTCTATCTTTTTGAAGAGTTAAGCAATATTGATTATAAATCTTTGAAAGTCTGGTAAACTTCTACTGTGAACACATCTGATTCTGGGCTTTTTTACTTGGGGATCTTTTTATTAATCTTTCAAAATCCTTATTTTTATGGGTCTGTTTAAGTTGTTAATGTATTCTTGATTTTACTTTGGTGGCCTGATTGCACCTGGAAATTCATTGATCTTTTATATTTTATAATTTAATAGGGTATGGGTTTTTAAAGAATTCCCTTCTCAGATTTTGTTTATATGGATTTTTTTCTTTTGTTTATCTGACCTAAGTGTCTGTCTGATAGACTGTATGGGATAATTTCATTATTTTGTATTTGTTGAGGTTTGTTTATTGCTCTAGTGTGTGGTCTATATTAGATGAATTTCCTTGGATTGCTAAGTAATCATAGCTGGGAATGTGAGTGTGGAGATAACAGTGGGGTGAACTGGTTCTAGCTGGCTTGCCAGGCTACTCTATAGCGGGAGCAGAGCTTCAGAAGCCTAGTCAGGAGTTGTCCAGCAGCATGTTCCCAGCCTAGTCCTAGAGGCAGAATATGGAAATGAAATGTGCCTGCATCTGACCAGATAAGCAGGATGTTCCCATGCCCAGGAGCAGCTGGGCCTAGTCCCAAATAGGGAATGTGGTGATGGCATATGTAGTCGCTAACTAGCCAGGTAGGTTTAATAGGAGCTTAGGAGCAGCATCATCCTGGTCAGTTACTGAGCTGGAAGACTGAATATTCTTTTTAATATATTTTTCTAATGCTCTGCCTTTCTTTTCTTGTGGTATTTGAAAATAATTCTTTGAAATTTTTTGTTGATTTTATTGTCAGTACTGTACAAATTTTATTGATTATTGCTAAAGATTTATCAATGTATGTGGAATTTCAATGTTATCTGGGCTGATATTTTTACATATGCTCTTTCAATTCTTGTGTTCTTAATTTCTGTTTATGGTATAATTGCTCTGATAGATAAATTCCAACAAAGCATTGACTAGAACTGGTTGTAATGGGAATACTTGTGTAATTTCTGATAAAATGAAGGAGTGTATCTTTAATATCTCCCTGTCAAATTTAATGTATTAAGAATACTTGGGAAAATGAGGATGGAGAGTTGGCTCAGGGGTTAAGAACACAGTTTGCAGAGCACCCAGGTCCTCTTCCCAGCACCCACATGGCAGGTCACAACCATATGCATTATCAGTTCCAGGTGAAGGTGACATTCTCTTCTGACCTCCACAGGCATTTCATGACACAGGTGCACTTACATATATACAGGCAATATGCTCATACACATAAAACAAGTTTTTAAAGTACTTGGAAAATGTTCCTGATCAGATAAAGAATAGTCACCTTGATCTAACTTTGACATGAATT